TTTTTCAGAGAGATTATTTTAGTAGCTGTAGAATATTCTATAGTGCCAATGTACCTTAACACCAATAGCAAATTACTTAACATGCACGCATGTCAAATTCCTTATAGACACGACCCTATTCATTCCTTAGCACCCCTAGGGACTGGTATTTTACAGATGAGGAGACTGTGCCTCAGGGGAGTCTGAAAATTTACTTCCCTGAGGTCATAGAGCTGATAAACAGCAAGGTTAGTCTTACTTCAGAATCTATATTCTTTGCACTAAACCCAGTGGTTCCAAAACTCGGCTAATCATCAAAGAATCTAAGGACTGTTTTCCTGTGTCCATTCACAGAGACCATAATATTGTAGCTCCAGAAGGAGACTCAGAAATCTCTACTTTTATAAAAGTGCCTCAGGGGATTCTAATAATCCGCTAGATTTGGAAATAAGTTACCTAATTTTAATATACTTATGTTTCCCTTATAGAATATTTGGATCATCTATACATTTTGCTGTTATAAGAAGTCTGCAGTGAAGATGGTTATGTATAAAGCTTTGCCTGTATTTAGTATTGTTCACATAGGATGAGTCCAGAAGAGTGATTAGTGAATCAATGATGTAAATATTTTTAAGATTTTTGAAATGTTTCATTCACATATTTACTTATCAGCTACTCAAATATTCACTTAAAAATTATGCTTCTTTCTACAAATATTTATTAGACATTTGTCATGCACCAAGCACTGTGCTAAGGGTTTGAAATATAACAGTGAGCAAGACATATAGTGGGGAAGATGGATATTAATAACAACAAAAAACAAAATACTGAAGTTGTAATTGTGATAGGGTATCTAAAGGAAAAGTAAAGGGGAATATAACCCTGGTTTGGAGATGATTAGTGAAGATATTGCTGAAGAAATGATATTTAAAGTTAGGCTTGATGAAAGAGTAGAAAAATTATGCAAAGAGAAAGGAGAGGGCATTCTGGGCAGAGAAAAGTGACATACACAAAGGCTCAAAGGTGCAGGGGAACTTGAAAAATTGCATAAAATTAGATTTATGTTATCATATGGCTATGGATATACTGAGTTTTTGACAATGTTAAGTTTTGAAATAACCAAATGTGTGACATCTGAGTGAAGATATGTTCAATCAGGAGTTAGAGATAAGAATCTAGAGCTCAGAAGAGAAGTCTTGTGTAAAGAAATTAATTTGGCACTTGAAGCCATGGAAATGGATGGAATGTACAGTGTAAAGGAAAAATGTATACAAGGTCAAGAGCAGAGGGCTAATGACTGAACCTGGGAGATTCCACTGTCGCAAAGCTGGGTAAAAATGTTCCAAAGGAGGGGCACCTGGGTGGCTCAGCAGTTTAAGTACCAGCCTTTGGCTCAGGTTATTATCTCTGGATCCTGGGATCAGACCTGGGTTCAAGCCCCGCATCAGGGTTTCTGTTCAGCGAGAGTCTGCTTCTCCCTCTCTTGCTCTCCCTGCTTGGGCTCCCTCTCTCTCTCAAATAAATAAAATCTTAAAAAAAAAAAAAATGTTCCAGGGCAGCCCAGGTAGCTCAGCGGTTTAGCACCACCTTCAGCCCAGGGCCTGATCTTGGAGTCCCAGGGTGGAGTCCCATGTCGGGCTCCCTGCAGGGAGCCTGCTTCTCCCTCTGCCTGTCTCTGCCTCTCTCTCTCTGTGCCTCTCTTTAATAAATAAATAAAATCTAAAAAAAAAAAAAAAAGAGTTCCAAAGGAAAGCTGAAAACTAGTGACCTAAGAAGTAGGAGGAGAAAACCAGAGTTGAGTTGAAGGGAAAAAATGTTTCACTTGAGCAATGATAAAAATTAACAAAATAAGTTCTTGAAATGAGTTGAAAAGGGACTACTGTGCACAAAATGATATCCCAATAATGAACAGAGATGATCACTGCAGCATTGTTTATGGAAATAACTTGATGCATTGTGATTTAGTCATACACTGTTATCCTAAAAAGTTGTGCAGAAGTTGTACTAAACTACAAGTATCAATATGGCAAAATATAAAAATTAACTTAAAGCAGATCACAGATTCAAAAGCAAGATGTAAAACTATAAACTTCTAGATGAAAGCAGGAGAAAAATCTCTGAAACCTATCTTGGCTTGATGAAGAATTCTTAAATATTATACCAAAAACATGACCCGTAAAAAATTTTGATAAATTGGACTTTTTCAAAATTACAACTTTTCTTCTGATTTTCAAACTACATATCTGATAAAGAACTTACATTTAGGACATATAAAGAACTCCCAACATTAAAAAAAATAAATTCCAATTAGGGATACCTAGATGGCTTAGTGGTTGAGCATCTGTCTTTGACTCAGGTCATCATCCCGGGGTCCGGGATCAAGTCCCACATTGGGATCCCTGTGAGAAGCCTGCTTCTCCCTCTGCCTATGTATCTGTCTCTTTCTCTGTGTCACTCGTGAATAAATAAATAAAATCTTTAAAAAAATAAAAATTAAAACTATCCAGTTAGAAAACAGGTAAAAAGGGTACCTGGGTGGCTCAATCAGGTAAGTGTGGGACTCTCAATTTTGGCTCAGGTCATGATCTCAAGGTTGTGAGAAGGAGCCCTGCATTGGTTTCTGAGCTTAGGGTGGAGCCTGCTTAAGATTCTCTTCCCCTCCCTTTGCCCCTCCTCCAACTCACACTCTCTAAAAAAACAAATAAGCAAAATCTTAAAAAAAAGAAAGGAGTAAAAGGTGTGAAGAGATTACTAAAAAAAATACTATGTTGATGCAAGTGAGGTGTTCAACTTCACTAGCCATTAGTGAAATGATAATTAAAGCCATAATGAGAATTACTACACATCTAATAGAAAAGACATAATAGACAAACAAAAAGTAATGACAATAGCAAATGCTGATGAGAATATAGAGAAGCTAGATTGCTCATACATTAACCACATACATTAAATGCATTAATCACACAACTCAGTACTTGCATGCTACGCATTTATTATGAAGAAATGAATATTTATGTCCACATATCAACTGTATACAGATATTGCTAGCAGCTTTATTTGTAATTTCCCTAACCAAAAATCACCAGAATGTCCCTCAATAGGTGATTGGTTGAATAAACTGGTATAAAATGGATGTACCATACCATGGGATACTTAGCAATAAAAAAAAAAGGAGTAAACTGGAGATACATGTGACAAGGGCATTATTATAAGTGAAAAATCCAGTCCCCAAAGGACATATGCTGCACAATTCTATTTATATAACTTTCTATAACTGACAAAATTATAGAAATGGAAAACAAATTAGTGTTTGTGAGAGTTTTTAGGGTATGTATATAGGCTATAAAGGGGGAACACAAGGAGACATCTGTGATAATGGAATAGTTCTGTATTTCAATTGTAGTGGTTACACATAATAAAGTGGTATAAAGCTATCCAAACACATTGTACCAATGTCATTTTTCTGGTTTTGATATAGTGCTATAGTTATATAAAATATAACTATTGGGGGAAATTGGATGAAGCATTCACAGGATCTCTCTGTATTGTCTTTACTCCCTCCTGTGATTCTATAATTATTTCAAATAAAGAATTTTAAAAATGTAATTATACATAAGAGGCAAGTTTTTATTTTATTTTTTTAAAATATTTTATTTGGGCAGCCCCGATGGCGCAGCGGTTTAGCACCGCCTGCAGCCCAGGGCGTGATCCTAGAGACCCAGGATCGAGTCCCATGTCGGGCTCCCTGCATGGAACCTGCTTCTCCCTCTGCCTGTGTCTCTGCCTCTCTCTCTCTAGCTGTGTCTCTATGAATAAATAAATAAAATCTTTAAAAAAATAAAATAAAAGATTTTATTTATTTATTCACGAAAGACACAGAGAGAGGTACAGATATAAGCAGAGGGAGAAGCAGGCTCCCCACAAGGAGCCTGATATGGGACTCGATCCAATGACCCTATGATCATAACCTAAGCAAAAGGCAGAGATGCTCAACCACTGAGCCACCCAGGCATCTGAATAAGCAAGGTTTTATTTTTTATTTTTATTATTTTTAATATATTTTTTATTGGAATTCGATTTGCCAACATCTAATATAACACCCAGCGCTCATCCTGTCAAGTGCCCCCCTAAGTTCCCATCACCCAGTCACCCCATCCCCTGCCAACCTCTCCATGAAAAAACAAGTTTTTAAAGATATATTTATGTAAAATTTTAACAAAAAAAGCATAGTATATATTGTATAGGTTTACATACATTTACACCTGCTTGAATTAAATGAATTGTTTATTTTATACTTCCAAAGGATCAAATATTAAAACTTCGTATAGTTAAACCTAATGGTAAAATTCAGGTACATACAAAGATGGTAATGAGGGACGCCTGAGTAGCTCAGCAGTTGAATGTCTGTCTTTGGCTCAGGGCGTGATCTTAGAGTCCCAGGATTGAGTGCTACATTGGGCTTCCTGCATGGAGCCTGCTTCTCCCTCTGCCTATGTCTCTGCCTCTCTTTCTCTCTATGTTTCTCATGAATAAATAAATAAAATCTTTTTTAAAAAAGATGGTAATGATACACATCAATTTAATTAATTTTTAAAAGATTTTATTTATTTATTCATTCATGAGAATAAAGACACAGAGAGAGAGTCAGAAACATAGGCAGAGGGAGAAGCAGGCTCCCTGAGGAGAACCTGATGCAGGACTTGATCCCAAGACCCCAGGATCATACCCTGAGTCAAAAGCAGACACTCAACCACTGAGCCACCCAGGTGCCCCAATACACATCAATTTTAAAATAAAGACTGCCTCAGAAAGTAGAGAGAAGAGGTGGGAATGAGGCTTCTGATGGATCCAAACATTAAGAAAAACTGAGAAGTTTGCTTGCAAAGGGTAGTGGTGTGTTAGTAGATGAAAAGATGGAGTTCAGATTGTTTTTTTTTTTTTTATGTTGGAAAAGATTGTAACTTACTTGGATATTGAAGGAAAATATCCAATAGGGAGAAGTTGAAAATCCATTCAGGGAGGCCTAGCTGGCTCAGTTGGTAGAGCATGTGACTCTTGATCTCAGGGTCATGAGTTCAAGCCCCACATTGGGCATGGAGCCTACTTAAAAAAGAAAAGAAAAGAAAAGAAAAGAAAAGAAAAGAAAAGAAAAGAAAAGAAAGGAAAGGAAAAGAAAATCCAGTAAGAGATGGCAATTAGTCCAAACGTAAAGTAAAGAGTCATCAAAGAGGGAGTAATTGCATAGGTACTGGAAAGATTGAAGATGATGCTTCATGAGTAGTAGAAGACTGACTATAGTCTTTTATGGACAATGGCCAAACCATATGAACATGGAATTGGACAATAACCAAACTGTATATGGCAATAGAATTCTGACTGTAACCTCTGCATCAAAGAGCATGGAATGATCAGGACTTGGTCAATGACTGCTGGTCTCCCTATTTGTTTATTTATTTATTGGCCCTCTCTTCCAACTCAGAACAAGAGAGTGCCACATGTGCTCCCTAAAGATGTCTCATTTCTAGCTAGAATGCCATCAGCTTCCTCATGCCAACAACCACCAATCAGAACATACCTGGAGCCACCTTCTTTACTTTTTTTTACTATAAAGCTTTCTTGCTTGCCATTGAGTCTCTGCCAAAAGCAAGTAATGGTGGCTGACTCCTTTGCTATAGCAAGCTCTGAAGAAATAACCTGTTTGTTCTCCTTTGGGTGACATTCCTTTATGTCCACAGTAGAAAGGTTGAATTCATGATTTTGAAGGTAGACTTTATGACCCTCCAAGTGAGACATTGAGGCAGAGTGAATCTATTGAAAGAAGATGATGTCAAGAAACTTCAGTACTTTCCTTTTTTTTTTTAATGATTTTATTTATTTATTTATGACAGACACACACAGAGAGAGAGAGAGAGAGAGAGAGAGAGAATGGAAGAGACACAGGCAGAGGGAGAAGCAGGCTCCATGCAGGTTGCCTGACGCGGGACTCGATCCCAGGTCTCCAGGATCATGCCCTGGGTAGAAGGTGGTGCTAAACCGCTGAGCCACCAGGCTGCTGCTTGATGTCAAGAAACTTCAAAGACAAATTTTGGATGGATTATCTTTGTAGATATTAAAATAGGCTGGCTTTATGAAAATATGACTGTGGCCAAAAGTACTAACGTCTTCAATAAATGGAGTGGCCGGAAAGTCAACAGTAGCAAGAGATAGGCAAGAGTGGGGTGGGATAGCACTGTCTTCACACTTCACACTGCCTTTAAGGTAGTACTTCAAGTCTTCTGTTAAAGGAATGCTAATAGGCTGAGGATTGTCAGTGAAAAAGGTAATGATCTCTGTCCTAACAGTGAGTGGGGGAAGCGGATATTGGAGTAAATGTGTTAAGTATCAGGGAAGTAAGTGTGCTATGGAAGTACCCCAAGATGATACCTAGTCAAGATTTTGTTTTTGTTTTTTAAGATTTTATTTATTTATTCATGAGACACACACACACACACACACACACACACACACACAGAGGCAGAAACACAGGCAGAGGGAGAATCAGGCTCCATGCAGGGAGCCCTATGTGGGATTCGACCCCAGGACTCCAGGATCACACCTGGGCCAAAGGCAGGCGCTAAACCGCTGAGCCACCCAGGGATCCCGTACTCAAGATTTTGAGGGCAGGAACAGCCAGAAATTTCCTGGAGGCAGTGATAATTCATACTGTGTCCTGAAGGATGAGCAGAAAAGCACAAGCATAGAGAGGGGTTCGTTGCTGTACCAAGCACCATACTGTCTTAATTACTATGACTTTATAATAGGTCTTTATAGGACAGGTTCCTCTATGTTATTCCTCTTCAGATTGTTTTGGTGCTTCCTAACCTTATTCTTTCTCATTTCGATTTTATTTATTTATTTAATTTTAATTTATTTACTTGTTTGTTTATATATGAGTAAGAGTACACCCAACATGGGGCTGAACTCACTACCCCAAGATCAAGAGTTGCATGCTCTACTGACTGAGCCAGCCAGGCATCCCATTTTTAGTTTCAATTTTAGGATACACTTGTCAAAGTTTCACAAAAATCTGATAGATTACACTTGTCAAATTTCACAGGAATCTCAATCAGATTTTCGTGCCTATATAGAACTTAAGCCTCTTTCTTCTTATTGAATTATTACATATTCCTTAAGTGGCAACTTTAAATTTTACCTTCCTCAAGAAGGCCTTCCCTTACTTCCTAGATAAAATTAAATTTCCTTTCTATGTATTTCCACAGCATCCTGTACTTCCTATTAATTAACACAAGTCAGACTTAAAATTCTTTAGTCAAAGTCGGTCTCCTAGGCTAGAAAGTTCATAGGGACCACATCTGTCTAGTTCATCACAATATCCTCTAGCACACAGTCTAAAATAGTTCATGCTCAAGCCATACTTTTTTTTTTTTAGATTTTATTTATTCATGAGAGAGACAGAAAGAAGCAGAGACACAGGCAGAGGGAGAAGCAGGCTCCCCAGGAGGACCCTGATGTGGGCCTCAATCCCAGGACTCCATGATCATGACCTGAGCCAAAGGCAGATACTCAACCACTGAGCCACCCAGGGGCCCCCAAGCTATACTTTTAAAATTTTATTTTATTTTATTTTATTTTATTTTAAAGATTGTATTTATTTATTCATAGACACAGAGAGAGAGAGGCAGAGACACAGGCAGAGGGAGAGGGAGAAGCAGGCTCCATGCAGGGAGCCCGATATGGGACTCGATCCCCAGTCTCCAGGATCACACCCCAGGCTGCAGGCGGCGCCAAACCGCTGCACCACCAGGGCTGCCCTAAAATTTTAAATTAAAAATGTAAAAGAGTGGGGGCCCCTGGGTGGCTCAGTGGTTGGGCATCTGCCTTCAGCTCAGGTCGTGATCCCAGGATCCAGGATCGAGTCCTGCATCGGGCGGTGGGGAGCCTGCTTCTCCTTCTGCCTGTGTCTCTTCTCTCTCTTTCTCTCTCTCATGCCTTGTCCATTTAACAGGAGAGAGATCAAAGAATAGTTAGTTCGTGAGACCTAACAGAGCACTCTTCTATTATTTTTTTTAATTTTTTTTTTATTTATGATAGTCACAGAGAGAGAGAGAGAGAGGCAGAGACACAGGCAGAGGGAGAAGCAGGCTCCATGCACCGGGAGCCTGACGTGGGATTCGATCCCAGGTCTCCAGGATCGCGCCCTGGGCCAAAGGCAGGCGCCAAACCACTGTGCCACCCAGGGATCCCTTCTATTATTATTATATTCTTCTTCTGTTGTTATTACTAATGATCTATTACTGCTACTTCCTTTTCTTTGTAAAGTAAGAGATGAGGGGAGTCGATACTCATAAGCGAGAGGCAGCGGGATTGGAGGTGAGAGAAGAGCTGTGAAGAATGGACATGTGGACAGAATAGGGGAGCCAAAGACTCCCTGAGCAGTATTAAAGGTCCAGTGGATATTGGAGACCATGCATTCATACTGGTCTCAATCATACCAATCTGCACGGTATGGTTTTCTTCAGGTGTCCATAGCAGTACAGATCTACCTACAGATGATATTAAATGTTGGATTGATACAGGCTGGGATTTTTGCCAGACTGGTGCCAGTGAAGGACAATCGAACCATTGAGTTCAAAATATTGGTCAAAAGTAGTTGAAAAGAAGAAAGGGAGACAAAGAGACAGACTAGAGACTAAAAGGGCATTTGGTCTGGTTTGTGAGAATTTTCTCTTCCAGGTTTCCCAGCTATGTTTCCAATCCATGGGTTTAAGAGATTCCCCTGCATCATAGCGAATTTTCTTTTTTGGCTAAAGGGAGTTGGAGGAGTTTCAGTTTCAAAATAGTCTTAACTAAGAAAATGTAATACAGACTCTTTTACTTCTCATACTGTGTTTTTGTTTGTCTTGTTTTAGGGGGTTTAGATGTAATGTAGAGCCAAAGTTGATCAGCTTTTCAAGCATTTGGGGCATTTCTGTTGAAATCATCTAACAGCTCTATTGCATAAAAGGCTCAGCATTCTGGCAGATGATTTCAGAGCCTCTGGGGCTTGGAGTCAACCAGTAGGGTTTGCAGGGATTCCTGTCTCCTTGTTTTACTGATCTTATTCAGAAACAGCCAGGACTTTATGCCTGGAGCTGCTGGGGTAGAGGGACAGATCCTTTGATTGGCTGAGGATCTTGCTCTGGGAAAAGGGGAATGTGAGCCCTCTGTTCTTTGCTATATCCAAGATCTTTCCTGACTTGTTTCCTATTGCAAAATGAATCACTCTGGAAGTAGGTCAGCAATGCCGCAGTCATCTGTCTCTTTCCAGGCTCTACCACTTCAAGATCATATCACCGAACCTTGTGTCTTTCTTCCCAAAGCCATCAGAGACAGGTTTACCAAAACATTTACCTTCTGTTTCCTACTTCATACAGACAATACTAGAGACTAACAACATGTTAGTTGGAGTTGTTTTTGGCTGCCTGTTTTTGGATTTACTTGATTGACATTTCTACAAGGCATTTAGTTTTAGTTTCCAACAACAATAACATGCAAGCAACTTTCAGTCTCCTTTTTTCAATTCCTCCTTTCAATTTAATAGGCAGCTCCCAAGGCAGGTTCTAAAATGAGTGCTTGGTATGCAGAAAAGGTTGTAATGTTATTAATTTAAATCCCATCAAGTGATATGTCATGATTTATTTAATTATTTCTCTGGACATTAGTTTATGTCCACATTAGTGGACATTTAGTTTATTTTGCTATTTGATTTTATAATTAATTACTGTAAAGGATATCTTTATGCATAAACATTTTTCTGTATTTAGGAAATATGGGATTCCTCCTCAACTTTCCAGAGTTTTCAATATAAATATTATCTACTGCTAAGCCTGAAAGTGTAGAATGATATTTAACATCTGCCCCCTTTTTCCCCTCTCCTTAGTTTTCTTTGAATCTCTGATCTCTGTAAAATGCCTGTTAATTCCATTTTATGCACTATCATTGCCATTTCTTCCCCACGTAGCCCTCCCTCCTGGAGGTATTTGTCTTCCTACTTGGATCTGTACTGATTTCTTTCTGGATCTACTACACAGCAGTCATCCTTGGACTATCCAGTT